CCCCTTGCCACCACGCTACCCAGGCCCTCACTGCCCATGGGGGGACTGGCATGCAATCCCTGCACGTGGCACTCAGGCCTCTCTTGCCCTGAACAAGCAAGTGTTAACAGCTCTTCTAGCTCCACTGGCAGGCTTGCCCAAAGGCGCTCAGCTCTTGCTCCATGGGCCAGCAAGCCCACTGCTGCTGTCTCTTGTCGTCTCACACTGTCTTCAGTGTTACAGCTTTCTTCTGGGTCTAGGAGGTTCTCAATGCATTGACCCCGCATCCTTAGTTCAAAAGACGTGCTCCAGTCCAGACTCTTCTTGATGGTAGTGAGGTACTCCCTGAACCTCTGTGGGATTGGCCCCTATATAAGCAAACCCCTTGTCAATTTCAAGGCATGGCCCTCCCACCAGGACCATGAACTGACCAATCCCCTTGGTGGACTGTAAGTCCCTCAATTTGCATAGTAAACTGGTCAAACCCTTTCAAGACTATGGCCCAGCCAATCATCTTGGGGGGAGTTACAAGACCATGGCCAGAAAGGCTATATAAAAGCAATTCACTGCACCATACAACCAAAGTGTCCATCAACAATGAATGAATAAACAAAATGCAGTACCTGCGTACAATGGAATATTCCTCAGCCATAAAGAGAAATGAAGTCCTGATACGGTAAAACATGGATGAACCTTGAAAACATTATGCTGAGTGAAATAAGTCAGACACAAAAGGACAAATATTGTAACCGCCCACTCATATGTAATATTTAGAATAGGCAAATGCATAGAGACCAAAGTTTATTAGTGGTTACCAGGGGTGGGAGGCAGGGAGTGGGAAAGAGGGACTCATTGCTTAGGGACACTGAGGTTCTACTCAGGGTGATGAAAAACTTTTGGAAACGAACAGTGGTAATGATTGCACGACAGGGTGAATGTAGTGAATGTCACTGAACTGTACACTTAAAAACGGTTAAAACGGCAGACTTTGTTATACATATTTTACCACAATAAAATAAAAAAATGGGGAGGGAACATCCTAAAAAAGAATAGAAGGCCCAAGAAGCTTCACAGCAGAATCTTCTTAGGGACATCAAATGTTGAGGCTAAACAGGCTTGCTGACAGGAACAGAGCCAGGTATCCCACAGGAGGGGGGATGGACGTAGTCAAGAGATTCACAAAGCAAGGATGGAGTGTTGACTGTCTACTTTCTCCTGGACCCTCAGTCTTGAGAAGAGAAAGCAGACTCAAGAAGAGGGAGGCAGTAGGAACCTGTCCAGCACCAAGCCCTTTGCAATGTGACGCCAATCCTTACCCTACGAGTCTCTTCTTCCAGGACAAATTCAATTTCTTGAGCTTTAGGAAAAAGAGCATCACTTCTTCTTATTACCCTACATCCCTCATTCCCCATTTTGTATCCCTGCAGAAGAAACACTAAAAAGAAGTGGTGACTCCTCCCATCCTAAAAATTCTACACTAAACGTGACTGCAAGTCACTGTCCCTGTATCAGACTTACAGCAATATCCCAGAAAACGGACTTAACGCTAGAATTTCCTTCAGATTCGACAACTGACCTCTGATAATAACATCTAACCTTACATTCAGTCCTATCCCTGAAATAACAGGTTTTAGACAGGTTTTTCTTAACAGTATAAGGTTCTCTGAGGCAGCTAACATCATCTGCTCCAGCAGAAACACCCTAGAAGCCCAATCTGAGAACCAATAGCAAAGTCCAATCTTAACATACACTACACAAAGCCTGAAAGACTCACATGCATTTAGTAAAAAGCGAGCAGAAAATGCCTGTTAACATCATAGCTCCACTGCAGCTGTCCCACAAAGACCTAGAAGATTCTGGAAAAGATGATTTCTAGGGAATGCTTGAACCAAGATTCTACAAAACATCAAATTTTATCCGTCATAATTTGCAGCAGAATTTGGTTTGCTCCGGAAGAGTCTCAGATCGGCAAAAAAGATCAGCAAGAAGAAAACAGGCCTCAAAACATGGTGAACCGGGAGAAAGGAAGACACAATGCTTAGGGGACACTGAGCTTCTGTTAAGGGTGATGGAAGACTCAGGAGCAGTTCATGGTGATGGCTGAACAACATACACCTGCTGGGCAGCCTCGCCGTGATTCCCGTCAGACGCTGTGCTCACGTGCTTCATATTTAACGTCAGTAAACTATCCATGTGAAGATTGTTGAAATGGCAATATTTTGTTACCTATATATTTACCACAATAAAACATGTATTTAAAAAACAAAACAAGAAAACATGATGAACCAGTAAAGCAGGAGAGGGAGACTTTAGCTATGACAGCTTTTCCCTTTAAACCACCACTGGCATGACAAAAATCACTTGTTTAATGAGGCAAGCAGCAGTGTCCAGAATGAATGGTTACAAGGGGAAGGATACCACTGAGTGAGCTTTTGGATAATCCTTTGCAAAGGCTAAGCTTTTTAAAACAGCCTTACCAGAGAGTCAGGAGCTGGGAAAAGACAGGGTATCACTAATAGGCACCTGATTGGTCAATCCTTGGCCTGGAAACCACAGGCGAATTAACATCACAGCGTGTGCCTGTCCCATGCTTGTGTTAATTCTAACCCTTCCTTCTCCCATTTGCAGCTACAAGAGGACAGTGTAGATGATCCTGATGACCTGTCACCACGTGCGTGGGGAGGCGGGACAGTTTGGTATCTGTTATCAGTTTGGTATCTGTTGCCTCCCCCCAAAATATGTGTTGTAAATCTTAACCCCTATACCTGTGGTTTGGAGCCCTGGTGGCGCAGTTAATAGCTATGGCTGCTGACCAAAAGATAGGCAATGCCAATCCACCAGGCACTCCTTGGAAACCCTATGAGGCAGTTTTACTCTGTCCTATAGGGTCGCTATGAGTCGGAATCGACTGGACAGCAACGGTTTGGTTTGTTTTTTGTTTTGTTTATACCTGTGGCTATAATTCCATTCGGGAATGGGTTTTGTTATGTTAATGAGGCAGTATTAGTGTAGGGTAGGGTGTGTCTTAAGCCAATCACTTTTTGAGATATAAAAAGAGCAGATGGGCACAGAAGCAAGCAGTAATGGGGGAAGATAGATGCCATACCACATAAAGAACGCTAAGGAACTGAGGAATAGAAGCCAAAAAGACACAAGTGCCTTTCCCCAGAGCAGACAGAGAAAGACTTCCTCTAGAGCCGACACCCTGAATTTGGACTTCTGGCCTCCTAAACTGTGAGAATATAAATTTGTTTGTTAAAGCCACCAACTTGTAGTATTTCTATTATAGCAGCACTAGATAACTAAGACAGCATCCCTACCAAAAAAAAAAAAAACCCTCAAAAACCCAGTTGCTGTCTAGTCAATTCCACTCATGACGCCTCCATGTGTATCAGAATAGAACTGTACTCCGCAGGGTTTCCAATGGCTGATTTTTCAGAAGTAGATCACCAGGCCTTTCTTCCAAGGCACCTCTGGATGCATTCAAACCTCCAAACTTAGCAGCTGAGTGCTTAACCATTTGTCACCCAGTGACTCTGGTATCCCTAAAGACTCCAAAGACACATCGCCCTCCTATACCTGAACCTCTTTTGGTCATATTATGCAGTGATCGCAAAAGGTCTTGGCATGGGCAACTAAAGCATATCCCCTGCAAAGGCAGGGCAAGAGAAAACCAGAGGCAGAGGGAGAAGTCGGGGCCCAGGGCTCCAGGAAGTCCATCAGTGTAGGAAGAAGAGCTAGCAGTCTAGAGACGGTCAGTACAGACTAAAGCAAGGGTAGGAACCTGGCTCCATTTCATGACCTAAGGTAATTGCCATTTTCACAATAAAACATTTTCCCTGTCAACAACAGCCTCTAGTCTGAGCGGTGGGCCTTAGGGCAGTAGTGCAAAGCTTTCTTAGGTCTCACTTTAAGAATTCTTTGTGAAGTAAGTGCCACTAATAACTAGATTCCCCTCTGGCTGGCCTCATCTCCCCCGACCTCCAACCAAGAGCTAGTCAAAGAGTGAGACAGGAAGACGGCAGGTCAATAGGAGAGGCGATTTTCTGCTTCTGAGAATTTCTGGCTTTTTATGATTCCAATAACCCTCAGGTTGTTATGGGCTATATGCCAGTAACGGACAAGTTTATTTTTTAGCAAGAAACATTTCTAGCCCAAATCTGGAAAGGACACTTGGACTACAAGACCATTTGAGATGAAACAAATCTTTTATAGCATTAGCTCTGAGAGGTGACAAGCTTAGCCTCTGTCTGGCTAAGGAGAGAAGCTTTTCTCTCTAAGGGTGAGGACCATCACCTGCCAGTTTGTCCTACTTTGGTGGCTTGTGTATTGCTATGATCCTGGAGAGCTATGCCACCGGTGTCTCAAATACCAGCAAGGTCATCGAAGTGGACAGGTTTCAGCAGAGTTTCCAGACACGCTAGGAAGAAAGGCCTGGCAATCTACTTCTGAAAAATTAGCCAATGAAAACCCTATGGATCACAACAGAATATTGTCCCATATAGTGTTGGAAGATGAGCCACCTAGTGTCCCGCAACGACGGACAGTATACCAACAATCAGGAAGACAGACTGGACTGGGCAATGTTTTGTTCTGTTGTACATGGGGTCACCATGGGTTGGGGCTGACTACAAGGCAACTAATACAACAAAGGATGGAAGAGAGGGGAGGAAGTATGAAATAGAACCTGGTGATGCGTTTTTGCTCAGAAATCACCACACAGCTATCATACAGGTAGTTTCCTTTCACCTTTGCTCCCACTGCAACTCCACTCAGCTTTGGTGCTTTGTTGGTGGTTCAGTGGTAGACTTCTTGCCTTCCACGTGGGAGATCCAATTTCCATTCCCAGCCAACGCACCTCATGCACAACCACGACCCGTCCATCAGTGGAGGCTTACATGTTGCTATGATGCTGAACAGGTTTTGGTGGAGGTTCCAGACTAAGACAAACTAGGAAGAAAGGCCTGGAGATCTACTTCCGAAAATCAGCCAGCAAAAACCCTATGGATCACGATGGTCCAATCTGCAATTGATCAAGACCACGCAGCAGTTTGTTCCGCTGTGAGTGGGATCGCCATGAGTTGGGGGCCGACTCAACAGCAGCTAACATGCCCCAGTAGGTCTGTTCCTGCTACTGCTCCCAATAGTTAAGAATCCCTTGCCATCCAGGACACTTGGGTCTCTCCTACTGAAGAAAAGGCGAATAGGCTTGAAGGTACTTATGGCCCTTCGTTGAGTGCCACAGGGAATTGAATATTGGCTTCCCCTTAGGTATAGGAACCAAAGTTGGAGACTGAGGGCCTTTCTTGAATGACCACAAAGCCTCATCCTAGGAAATGAATTACCCAATGTGGCCCACAGTAGGGCTTATGTTAAAATAATCTGAAATGGCAAGCCTTGATCAACTGATCCAATACTTTAGGAAATATAATCAGCAAAGTTATGCCATCGGTGCCGCATGTCAGCTTCCCCCAGAGAAAGGACTTGAGTTGGAAGAGGGTCAGAGGCACACATTTCAGTCCCTCTTGAATCAGTTTTCAAGACAAATTGTAAAGTAAATATCCCAATGTTCAACAAAAGCAAAAAATAAAGAAAGCAGACCCAGGCTTCCAAGATAAGGGGCGGACAGGCACTCTTCACAAAGATTCAGAAGCATGTAGCTTCCCAAAGTGAAAGAGCACTTTTATTTGATGATGCACAAAGGAACTCACTTAAAGTTTTGGAATGCATTACAATTCTTAAATTTTGCACATTCATCTTTCCAAAATCGCTTTCATTTAGAAGGGCTGAAATTAAGTGCCATTGAGCAGGGCTGGAATGAAATGCCAAACATATGTTAACTACTAACAAAAGAGGGGGGATTATCACATTTGACAAAATTGGTTCAAAATGAATCAATTATAGAAACCATTCCCCTCTTATAAGAAAACACCTAATTCCTACCCTCAGGAATAAGAATCGGAGATCCAGCAGGATTATAAATGCAGCTAATAGTTCGGAAACGAACTACTGGACAGCAAGACATCTAATCCAAATCTTCAGCAGAGATCAGTATAGATAGGATACAGACCCACAGTCACACACATACACTTTATTAGTTTCCTCAACAAGAGACAATGACATTGATAATATTTTTAACAGAAATTTCAGGTCATTCGAGAGGCCAAAACAGATCCAAGGAAGGAAAATGAAAATTAAATATTTAAATTAATCAAACGGCAACACAACATCATCTAAAATCTACTACCACAGTGGTAGTAGCCAAGGAAAATTAAGCTACAGCAAAACCATGTAATGTAAATGTTAAGAGATCACATAGCAGGAAGTGAATCTGCTTTCCATAAGACTATGGTACACTGATCATTTGGACCCAAGAGGATTATTTGGCCAGGAAAAGGTCAAGATGATGGAAGGTGAAGCCAAATTGAAATGAACAGGTACAAAGGAGGATCCAAAATACACAGTCCCCGAGCAGATGGTGATGGATCAGTCTTCTTCCTCCCAAGAAGCGTTTGCTGGCACAGTGCTGCCTCCCCTCATGACCCCACCCAATGGCCACGAAAGCTGAAAGCCAGCTCCTGCCTTATAGGGAGCTCAGCAACCAGGAGAATTAGGTTTGGGGTTGCCTAGGGCTCTTGCTGCAATTTAGCATAGACCTTAGAGAACTTGCGACACATGGGCATGGGAGGGGGGTGACACATCATGTGGGTTATGTATTGGGTTGGCTTTGTAAACCCTGAAGCATTCACATGCAAAGCAGTCTAAGCTTCCCCCATTACCTTCAAACACCCCTATACAATACCCTCAAAGTCTGAAATCTTACAGCAGCTGAGCTGTAGTTAAAGCTACAAGGCTCCTCAAATCATCAACGAAGCCAGAATGAGATAATGCAGGTTGAAGACCCCAGCAATTTCAATCTGTCTCTCCCCAAAGCTCTAATATACCTGATGTGGGATGTAGAAAGCTACACAGGAGCAAGCTGGGTCTTCTGCGGAACTTTTCATCAAATACCAAGGGAAAATAAGGGGCAGGGTGGATTTTATTTTTAAAAAGCTTCAGAAGTTATTCTATTACAAAGGGACGTGACTAAACAGGTAGGAAACTGATTCCCCATTGTGAGTTCTCCTGATGGCTTCTGCAAGGATCATGGAGATGTCGATCACCTAGAATGGTGAGAAAAGTGGTACGTTAGTATCATACAGACAGAAGATGACTGGCAAATTTGCAGACACTGATGAGCGGCCCAATGAGTGTCCTTCCTCTTAAAACATGTGCTGTTTCCCCTCACGAGCCTGCATCCAGCGACTCATCCTAACACTTTTAATATAACCACTTAGGGAAGAATCAAAACGCTAATGGCAGAAAAATTCTGACTTGGACTCATCAAGGTGGTGGTGGGTGGGCATTTAAAAATCCTTAAGCATGAAAAAAGAGAAAAGGATAATCAGACAAAACAAACAAAAAAACTGTAGAGTGACAACAACCCTCCAATTCTAAACAGTAAGTTCTGAAAGCTAATGGATTGCTGTACACATTGTTAAGGCCTTGTTCTTTTAATGCAACAATGCTCAAACGTCAGTATCTAACATTTACTTGGGGAATTTCTTTAAAATACTGGTTCCAGGATCTTTGGTTTTGTACGTCTGGGAGGCAACAGAGGAATCTGCATTTTAACAAGAACTTCAGGTAATTAACACAGGTGGCTTCCAGCGCACACTTTAAGAAACGAAAGTTCTAAAGAGTGCACAGTTTAAAGGTTTCACATTGTCTACCGGGGCCAATAGCTAGAGACATATGCACACATACTTTAAAGTTCATCAGAATCACTGGGAGAATCTGTTAGAACGCAAAATGCTAAGCTGCATCCTCCAGAGGTTCTAAGGTCCAGCAATTCCAATTTTTAAATCTGTGATCTTTTACTTTTTTAGAATCACAGATTATAATGACAGACTAAACCCTTACGACCAAAGAAAGAAATCTTCAGGACCCAGACAGACACCTATTAAGCATATGCAACCACCTCTTAAAAACTTGGTAAAGTCATGTTTTTACATGAATCACATCCTAACCTGTATTTTGGAGCAATGCTTCATCTTATCCTCTTGAGGTATGGTATTGGTGACTACTACTGCTTCAAAGCATGCATTGTTGATGCGAGAAATGGCCGGGCCAGAAAAGATTCCATGTGTCAAGATAGCATAAACTCTGGTGGCTCCAGCTGACAGAAGTCTAGAAGAAAAAGCAGAGTTAATTTGGGTTAATCTTACTTGTCACTACAGAATCTGAAACATGGGCAGACATTATACTACTTCTTGGCTAGGCTCCTAAAAAATCTTGTACGGATGATCCTCCGTGCTCTTTTCCCTTTCTGGCTAGCCAAAATAGAAATGTCTTCCAAGGTAATCTTGGAAGCCACACATTAAAGATGCAGATCCACAAGATCTAGAGTCTGGGTGTCTGAACTACCATTTAGAGAAAAATGAGTCCAGTCAGGAATACCATATTTTTAAGCAAATAACACGTGCCTCTAATGTTTGTTTGCCGACCTCGCTCTCCCCCCAGAGGTATTTTCCTAAGTGTGCTGTGCTAATTTTCTTACAGCAACATGTAAAAACACCTAGAATAGCAGTACTTACATAAAACCTGGGGGTAGGGAGGAGGGTGTGGATAGCAAACAAATGTAGAAGGCACTTGTTATTTGCGTAAAAATACTTTGGTTGGAATATGGCATGAGTAAGAAAGAAACGGTATAATGTTAAGTCACTGACATTCACTTACAGCAATTAGCATTTACCTTAACTAATACAAGGACAAAATGAGTTTTACAAATGCATACTCCAGGATCCAAACCAGGAACCATTCAGCATATAAATATGTTTTTTAACATCTACCACGTGCCAGACACTGTTCAAGGCACAGACTCAGAGATTTCTAAGAAACAACACTGTCCATAGTGGCTTGGATTATAAGCAATGGGGAGCCACTTAAGGTGTTGAAGAAGGAGTGAAGGGATCTTGCCTTGGTTTTAGAAAGATTAACAAGTAAGGAGGTGTTACAGGTTGAATTGTATCTCCAAAAAAGATACACTAAAGTCCTAAACCCCTGGTACTTGTGAATGTGACCTTATTTGAAAATAGCATCTTTGCAGATGTAATCAGTTAAGTTCACATGAGATCAGACTTGAGTATGGTGGGCCCTAATCCAATATGATGGTGTTCTTATAAAAAGAGAAAACTAAAAACACCCCAAACCCATTACCACTGGGTCGATTCCGACTCATAGTGATCCTATAGTTCGACGTAGAACTGCCCCATAGGGTTTCTAAGGCTGTAAATCTTTACAGAAGCAGACTGCCACATCTTTTTTCCCACAGAGCAGCTGGTGGGGTTGAACTGCTGACCTTTCAGTTAGCAGCCGAGCGCTTTTAACCACTATGCTACCAGGGCTCCTTATGAAAAGAGAAGAGACACAGAAAAAGATGCAGTGGGAAAACAGCCATATGAAGATGGACACAGAAACTGGAGTGATGCTCCCACAAGCCAGAAATGCCTTTGGCTACCAGAAGTTGAAAGAGACAAGGAAGGATCTTTCCCTAGAGCCTTCAGAGAGTGCATGGGCCTGCCAACATCCTGACTTTGGACTTATAGCTTCCAGAACTGTGAGCATACATTTTTTTTTTTTAATATTTTATTGTACTTCAGGTGAAGGCTTACAGAACAGATAGTTTCTCATGTAACAGTAACACACATGCTGTTTTATGCAATTGGTTAACAACCCCACAACATTTTAACCCTCTAAATTCTCAACTTTTTTTTTTCTTTTGTGAAAATACACATAGCCAAAGATATGCCATTTCAAAAATTTTTTTTTTACATACACATTTAAGTGACATTGACTACGCTCTTCTAATTGTGCTGTTATTCTCACTTAAGATGAAGGCTTACAGGACAAAATAGTCTCCCATTTGACAGTTACTACAAATGTTGCCCTATGACAATGGTTAACAATCTCACAACACATCAACAATATCCTTACTCTACTTTGTGTTCCCTATCATCAGCTTCCTACTCCCCTTCTGCCTTCTGGGCCTTGTCACTGGGCTCCTGTACCTCTTTACTCTCATGGTTTTACTGGGCTGTCCACTCTCAGGCTGATTGTGAGCATACATTTTTTAAAGCTACCCAGTTTGGAACATTTTAATCAAAGATTCTACAGCTGAATCCTGATCAAAAGGGGGAAAATGTAGAACAGAATTTCAAATTCTTATGGAATCCAGTCTTTCTGGAGCCATGGAGGCTGGATGAAATCTTAAAAACTATTGCCCTGAGATAATATTTAAAACCTTAAACCAAAAATATCCCCTGAAGTCTTCTTAAAACCAAACAATAGTTTAGCTTATCTAGTAACAAAGGCGGAACCCTGGTGGCACGGTGGTTAAGAGCTACGGCTGTTAAGCAAAAGGTTAGCAGTCTGAATCCACCAGGCACTCCTTGGAAACCCTATGGGGCAGTTCTACTCTGTCCTATAGGGTCGCTGTGAGTAGGTATCAACTCAATGGCAATGGGTTTGGTTTTGTTTTAGCTTAGAACAAAGGTCTACCATGAGCATTATGCTCTTTTAAGAACTATCTATATGGGATCAAACTGACAACAGCAACTGGAAAGATTAGATAGGAACCTTAGGGAGCAGTGAGTTTATGTTAATAACGGAAGAACGCAGAAAAGGAGGGTGAGAATGGTTGCACAAATCGAAGAATGTAATCAATGTCATTAAATTCTTCATGTAGAAACTGCTGAACTGGTGTGTGCTTTGTTGGGCATATTTTCAACAATAACAAAAATAAATTTAAAAAAAAGCCACCAAGTTTGTGATGCTTTGTTATGGCAGCCCTAGGAAATGAATACAGGAGGCAATGTGAAAGACGGGCAGGGGAGGTAAAAGATTGGTGACTGGCAACCAAGAGAAGAGTGAGGAAGCAATCTAGAATAGTACAGACAAAAGATGAGAAGCAATATGGACTAAGACATTAGCAGCTAAAATGGACAGTTAGGAGGTAAGACTAGGATTATCAGCTTAAGTAAAATAGGAATATGAGGATACACTTCTGTCTCCTCAGACCTACGAATATCTACCTGAACTTGTTTTAAAAAAACATATCAAAAGTAGAGTGCTCTGGAGAAAAGAAGACTGACACATGCTATAGTATGGATGGAGCTTGAAGACATTATGCTGAGTGAAATAAGCCAATCACAAAAGAACAAATACTGTATGGCCTCACTTATATAAAAAGGTAAGAAAAGGCAAATATATACAGAATAAAGTTTACTAGCAGTTACCAGGGGTGGGAGGGAGGGGGAAAAGGGGGGTTACAAGTGATGGAAAAATTGCATTGATTAAGGGTAGGGTTGCACAGCCTATTATTATAATTGCTGTCAATAAGTTATATATCTGTAAAAAGCAGAATTGGCAAATGTTCTGTGTTATATTTTATAACAATGACAAAAAAAATGAGTAGCTGCTGAGACTGCTTATGTACAACCAAACGCCTCGTGGGATTTGGTTCCTTGGTCTGGAGGGTTAGGATCCTGGTTTCATGGGACATCCCAGTTAATTGGCCTAATAACGTGTTTAGTGCTTTTCTTCTACCTCCCAGTTGATTTTGTAGTGTCACGAGTCTTAAAAGTTTGCAAGTGGCCATCTAAGGCACAACAATTGGTCTCTATTTAACTGGAGCAAAAGAGGAAGGAGAGTCAGGAATAGAAGGATATGGAATGTGTGGCTAACTGCCTCCATGAACAACTCCCTCCTTTCCCATGAGACCAGAAGAACTGGATAGTACCTGGCTACCATTACTGGACATTTTGATCAAAGATTCCATAGAAGAATGCTGATCAAAAGGGGGAAAATGCAGGACATAATCTCAAATTATCATGGACTCTAGACTTTCTGGAGCCATAGAAGGTAGATGAAGCCCTGAAACTACTGACCTGAGATAATCTTTAAACCTTAAACCAAAAATATTCCCTGGAGTCTTCTTTAAACCAAACAATACGTTAGCTTAACTAGTAAAAAATGTCTGCCTTGAGCATTATGCTCTTTTAAAAACTATCTATATGGGATCAAATTGACAACTGTAACTTGAAAGGTTACATAGAAACCATAGGGGGTAGTGAGTTTATGTTAATGAGGGAGAAACAACTCAGAAAAGAAGGGTGAGAATGGTTGCTCAACTTGAAGAACGTAATCAATGTCACTGAATTGTACATGTAGAAACTGTTGAATTGGTGTATGTTTTGCTGTGTATATTCTCAACAATAAAACAAATAAAAGTTAGAAGGAAAAAAGAAAAATGTTTTAAAAAGTAGAGAGCTCCTTAATTTGTATGTATTGTACTTCAAGCCTAAACCAATGAAAAGCCCTCTGAGCTACTTATCATCCCCTCAATCTAGTTCTGAAAACAATTAGCAGGCTTAAGCCAGTCCAGTTCACTATTTGCTTCTAACCACTGGCCTCATAATTCCACACTCACTTGTCAGCTGCATGGCAGATTGTGCCACAAGTGTCGGCCATGTCATCCACAAGGATAGCCACTCGATCCTTCACATCTCCTACGAGCACCATGCGATCCACTTCGTTGGCCTTCTTCCGTTCTTTGTGAATCAAGGCGAAGTCCACATTCAACCGGTCTGCAATAGAGGTCACTCTGCCAAACAGGGGGTGCTCAGAGTTAAAACCTGTGTGTGTGGCTTCTATGACAAAAGAAATAAAGAATGGATTTGTTTTCTGGGGGAGAACACTCCTTGAAACCAAACAATTCCCAGAGCTGGGAGAAAGTAACCACCACTGACTAACTTCTCAAAGGCAAACATCACAGACTAGGTTTTACAGAAGAATGCCTCCACGTTCTGATGCTGTTATTAGGTGACTTTGAGTCGATTCCGACTCATAGCAACCCCACAGGACAGAGTAGAACTGCCCCATAGGGTTTCCTAGACTGTAATCTTTATGGGAGCAGATCGCCAGGTCTTTTCTTTCGAGGAGTCGTTGGCGGGTTCAAACCACCAACCTTTAGGTTAGCAGCTGAGTGTTTAACCATTGTGCCACCAGGGCTCCTTTATATCCTGATACTTAGATGATAATTCATTCTGGGTTACAGTCACGGATAGAAAGATACCCTCATCAGTGCTGGGAAGCTGTGTAATGCTAAGGCATGTTTATTTTATTTAATGAATTGGCAGTGGAAGGGTAGAGAGAGAAGACTTCATTAACTAATGTTAAGAGTGTACAGACAGTGCCAGTTTACATAATAGAAGAGCCAGGAAGGGTGACTGTGGTTAAGAAGTCAACCTGAGCATGACAGGAGAGTAGCAATACCCAGCCTATTCCAATGCCCATGCCCTCATCACACTCCCCTCAGTGATGGCAGCAAAACATCCACCGTCAGTGTGAACTGTACCTGGACACCAAGCTTGGAATTTCCTGCTAGAAAGAAAGTTATACCAGTTAAATGGGCAGACTAGGCGACTCACTATACAGCCCAAATTATCACCAAGTCAAAATAGAATTCTTTTTTTTTTCTTATTACAAGATGATACAAACCAGATGAGAAAATGGGATAGAAGACAAATCTGTCTGGTGACAAACTATCATGTAATTCACTCAAATGTACTCACTCAGTGTAAATGACACTGTGCTAGCTCCAATGCTCCACTGTACCACCCTCGTCATACATAAAGAGGCATGTGCTTTTGTTTTTTAAGGTAGTATTGATCTAACTGCAGCATCATGTCCCATTTCCCTTGTAGCTATGGTCACATATCAGAGTTTCTGCTGGACTAGGGAGAAACTGTGACCAGGGACAGATTACTCACTAAGCAAGGTAAGCACATGCTTAGGCCATCAATGAAACAGGCGCACCAGTTGTCCAAAGCAAAGACCCACAGATGCCAAGCAGACTGGACACCAGGAAAAGCAAGCGCCACAGTGGAAGGGAACTGGCAGGGCACTAAATGAAACTGATACCAGCTCCAGTGCATGAGAATGTGCCAGCAGGAAATAAAGTTCACACAGGGTCAGGAGGACACCCATGGACTTCAATACCTTCATTGACATCTGTCTCCTATGGTTCCCTCCCGTGTAACTGAAACTCCTTATCTCAGCAGGTCTCTTGGGAGTATATTATTAATATCTAATAAAGAGGTGGGGCTGGGCTGTCAAATCTAACCCTTGCTGCATTCACCCAATATGCAACTGGATCCAACATGAGCGGTTACTGGGCAATGACAGATTATATGAATAGATAATAGGTCTCTGATACATTTTGAGACAACCTTCTTGTACATCCGTGTCTGCTGATCCAGCAATTCCAGCCTGGAGTGCCAGCAATGCTGTTTGCCATGATACAAACACAAGGGTATGCTCTTGTGCATGTCCTGGTAAACAACCAATGGGGACTCCAGTCTCAGATGACACGCAAAAGAGAGGGAATTCGAGTAAGTCAACAACTGCAATGAATTCAGTCAAGTTACCTTTTAACTGTATAGCATTTATGTACAGAGTTATGTCCTAAGTTTTGCAAACAATGTTTATAACTTTACCTTTAAAATGTTTGGCATACACATGGATGCAATCTAGCGTACACTTAATATAATACTAACATGGGTAATAATTTAATACTAACATAGCAAACATCTAAAAAATACTGGAAATATTAACGTTTATCTAACACGAAAAGTTTTCATTTGTGTATCATGTGAGTTTCGTTTTTTATTGTCTGTTGCATGGGACATGGTGCTTGATATTACTCTATATATGATAATAAATTAGGTATTAGGCACATTAAGAGGACACAAAATTTAATATTTATTTATCACGCAAAATATGTGTTTCTGTTTTGCAACAATTAGTGTGTTTTTAAATTCGTTTTCCAAGAAAACAACAAAGGACATTTATTAGAACAATACATTTATATTTATCAGAATATTTGCATATCTCCATGTAAGGAAATTAAACAATTTCTCGAGGAAATAAATTAAATGCATTTAGATAATAAAAATTACATAAATGTATTTTATTTTCCATTTCCCTTCTGACTGACTTTCTTTTAAGAAATTGATATTGTTATGACTCACGAAACAAACTTGCTCATCGAGAAGTGGTGCTATCATTACATCAATTATGTATGTATGTCCAAATATGGGAGCTGAACAATTCCACATAGAAATAAAGTGTTACTTTTATAAATTTTGTATACAATAGCAGTTATATTTTCCTTTTCATTTCAGATCGATCAGGTATAACCTCACATTTAGTTCTCTCTTGACCACAAAAGAATGCGCCATTGGCACTATAATCACGTGACTCGTGATATATCTGGTCCTGTCCTGTGCAAAGTGAACCAAAATGCATCTTCAGGTTGAGCATACCCTTGTATTTATATCATGCTCTTTGCGATTGCTCTCACCCCTGTTGATATCAGCAGGAGTCCAATGAACTGTGAAGACGCAGCATCCAAGGACGGAAAGTGAGTGCACAAGTTTTTAAGTATTATTTCAAGACAAAAACACTCGTGGAGATCTGCAAACGGTCCACGAACAAACATTGTATGACAAACGAATGAAATTATTTCCAACTGCCTTGTAAGTACTATTTCTTTTGACTATCTCAGATCTGAAGAACAAATTACACGTTCCAAATCAATTTTTTTACTTACTAATTTTCAAATACAAATTTTGTTAACATCCAAATTTGAATGTAAATTTTATTTATTTTTAGTTATTCAAATTTATTCACTACGGTAGAACTAAATTTTAAAAAGTGACACAATTTCTAAACAAGGTAAAATGAAACAGCAACAACTAAGTAGAGCGCAAAAACAGAAGCTCACAGAAGATAAAAAGAAAAGGATTTGTGAATCCCTAAAGACAATTCCAAAATTAACTTCATTTTTATAACATAATGAATCAGAAGAGACTTCTGTTCAACACTCGAGTTTAACAGCTGCAATTCAGTGTACTAGTACTGCTAGTGCTGAAATTATTAACAGCAATACGAACATAACAGAATTTGTTCCAAATTCTGCATCCATCCCTGGCTGTAGCAAAAAGATTAAAAATGATGTAGAAAGTGAAACTATTTTAGAACCTGAAATTGTCACACCTGAAGACCCTATAAATAACAGAAATACAGATCTTGCTTTGTGGAATAATTTTTCTTCTAATGATGTAAATTACTGGACTGAAAGAGGACCAGGTGATTGTCAATATCACAATGGATCATTTACAAATTCATGTGTAAAATTTCTGGATGGTAAACAAACAAGGTTCTGTAGCCAGAATGTATTTCTAGGGTGCAAAGCTAATTGTGAAAATTATAAGAGGGAGTGGTTACTGTATTCTCCATCAGTCATCTCTGTATATTGCTTGCTTGCAAGCTATTCAGCCCTAAATCATTACTTTTCCATTTGCAACAGATGGATTTAGTGATTGTCACAACTAGAATATGATTGATAAATATGAAAACAGTTCAATTTACAGAGATTGTATGTTGCATATTTAAACTGATGACATGGTTTTGGCTTAACTCATGAACTGAAAATACAAATTAATGAAGAACGTCAGTATTGGAAAGCTGTTTTGCAATGCGTTGTTGCTGTTGCAACAATCGCTGAATGTGGACTAACATTTCAAGGAAGAAATGAAGCTTCTGGGTCTCTTCAAAATGGAAATTTTTTGGGTTTACTTGAACTTGTTGCTCAGTTTGATCCATTTTTTAGCAGGTCACATCTCAAAATATGGTAACACAAGAAAGGGCAACCCATCATATATGTCTAAAAAAACACGCGAAGAATTAACTTAAAAAGTGATAACTGAAAAAAAAAGTGATAACTATTCTCAGTGAAATAAGTACAGCTAGATATTTCAGTTTGTCTGTAGATTCCACCCCTGATCCTTCTCATCCTGATCTTTCCAACAGATGAGCAATTTATCACATTTACTAGCTTAAAAAGTCATACCAGCGAAGAAACTGCAAATCAAGTACTTCACTATTTATGTGCAGTTTGAAAAATTGATCTTTCTAAGTGGAGAGGCTAGTCCTATGATAATGCTGTCAATATGTCAGGGCGTTATAAAGGCATGCAACAGAAAACCTTAGAATGTAATGAATGTGCCATTTTCAAGCCATGTACTATGCATTCACTTAATCTTGTAGGACATAGCGCAGTAAGTAGACTGTTGTCCAGAAGCAGTTGATTTTTTTTCTACTGTTCAATTACTCTACACATTTTTGTTGCCTCTACTCACTAATGGGTAGTTCTTAAAACACATTTAGGCAATGATCGAGTATTAAAATGTCTTTCTAATGTATGCTGGGAAGCACATGCTGCAGCAATGAGTGCAATCCTGGAATTGTACACTGAGATTCTAGATGCCTTAGAAAATATTGAAGACCAGACAAAAAAGGAGATAACAAAAGAAAAGCTGAAAACATCACCAACAAAATGCAAACACTAGATTATGTATTTATGTTGGTTTATATGGAATAATACATTGCAGCATTTTCATCAGATGAGTCAAGCTCTCCAAGATTCAGAAATTCAAAGATATGCACAGATCTCTTGCCAGTCATTAACAGGGTATTTACATAATTTAAGAGAAGATTTTAAAATTTTGAAAACACAACAAAACAAATAATGATTATCAAGCAGTTCACTGTCACAGAAGCATTAGAAAGAAAGAAACAAATGACAGAAGTGCTCCAGAAATAGAGTGCCACATACCATACCATCATTGACACATTTAAATCTTGCCTGAAAAGAAGGACAAAAGTTTATGAAATTCTTTCAAATAGATTTTCCTTCTTAAACAATGTGGATATACCTGACGGAAGAATGTATGAAGGCATCCAAGAAATTATCACACGCTTATCCCAATAACTTAAATACAAACCTTTATGGAGAAGTGCGACAATTTCACTTCTTACATGAGAACTAAGTTTACGGATTCAGGAAAGACAAATTTTACTCACGTAGGTATGTATAATTCCATAAAGTAAGATAAAATACAATGTGTATTTCCCAATGTTGAAACTGCTTTACACATATTCCTAACTTTAATGATCACAAACTGCACGAGAGAATGCTTGTTTTCGTCCCTAAAAAGACTCAAAAACCCTCAGCATAGAACAATGATTCAAGAAAGACTTGATTCATTATCCTTACTATGTATGGAAGTAGATACTGTTCTGCAGCTTAATTGTGGCAAAATCACTGAAGAATTTTTAAGAGCAAAGAATAGAAAGAAATGTTTTTAATTAAAACGTTAGAGACCAAAGATCTTTCTAAAAATAAAATATAGCAATTTGTTGTAATATTGGAACCCTGGTGGCACAGTGGTTAAGAGTTTGGCTGCTCACTAAAAGGTCGGCAGTTCAAATCCACCAGCTGTTCCTTGGAAACCCTATGGGGCAGTTCTACTGTTCTGTAGGGTCGCTATGAGTCAGAATCAACTTCACAGCAACGGGTTTGGGTTTGGTTGTAATATTTGTTTTCTGATCATTAAATTTTATTTTATGACACATTTTTACTTGTTCATTTATAATTATAGCATTTGTTACAAAACAAGCATCAAAACTGAAGTATGAGCCGTTTAAAGCAAAATTGCTGAAAGTCAGTTTGTTGTGGGAGATGAACAGAATTTTACATTGATTGCTGAAACAACTAAGTTCATTGATTCATTTTCTTTGTAGAGTATGTAGAATATTCTTTTTGTAGAAAATGTAGTATATAGTAAAAATCTTAGTACCCCGCATCCACTAAAAATTTTATAATCCAGTTCATCTCATCACGGTAAAATGGCATACGCCACTTTTGCATTCAATCGCTAATAGGGTAGTCGCATTTAAAAAGAAATTACATCATAGATAACTAAGATACACACACACATATATACACGTGTGTGTGTATATATATACACACATATATATATATATATATAGGAGCCCTGGTGGCACAGTGGTTAGGAGCTTGGCTGCTAACCAAAAGATCAGCAGTTCGAATCCACTAGCCACTCCTTAGAAACCCTATGGAGCAGTTCTACTCTGTCCTATAAGGTCGCTATGAGTTGGAATTGACTGGACAGCAACAGGTGTATATATAACTCATATATCCCGTTTGAATGCGTGAGTAAGCAGGAGGGAGCACCACAGATTATCAATGTTTAGGGCCCTCATATGCCTTAATCTGGCCCCGCCTGTGACCATATATAAATAGAAAGTTTGAACTATAACCCAGGCATCATTTGTACTTTGATCTAAATGAAAAATGCCCTGTGCTCTCCATTACTACTACTTGGTGATACACTATACCTGAGCACATAACATCAATGGTAACCACTTTGCTTGGAATGATTGCTATCCAAGGCAAACTACACGATCAATTAGTTTCAGCATCCCAAACCTTCCAACCTCCATGACCAACAAAGTACAAAGGCCTAGAAAACTAACCCCCTACATGCTTGAGTGAAGAACTACTTTGCAAATCACAATTGCACAGGGATCTCTACCTACTCAAAAACCCTGCCAAGACCGAAGTGACAGTCACTCACTTTGAAAATTCTCCATCACTATAAGAAAATCATAATAAAAAAATAATCAAGTAGCAATAAGTCATCTATTGAAGGCAGTTTTTCTGTACCCAACTCTGGAGAGAAAATCTTGCCTGATTATCTCAAATGTGGCAATTCTCCAAGTCCCATGGCAGGATGTGAGAACAGTGCTCAACAAGTTAAGACAAGCAAGTGCAAACTACCATGGTGGGGGTGTGTTTTAGACTCTGTCTCTAGTATTACAGATGGTAACCAGTGATTAAGTAAGACTCCCCAGGCCATACATCTGGCTGAATAATAGAACAAAGTTCTCAATTTATCAGTTCAGTTGAAGTTACTGAAATAAAGGAGTTGTTGAGAAACAGTCATTGAAGATTTGAATGGCTTTTAGAAAGTTCTGAATAGCTTTTCCGAATCATCTGTGTTTGCAGCTCTCATTGTATTTCCACAACAAGAAGAACATGTGTCATACTCGTGACTGCATTACTAACGAGCAACCCACTAAGGAAATCAAGAGCTTTTAGCCTGTACTATGTGAGCTTTATTATAAAGCACTGTAACTCAAACTCCCGGCAATCAGCTTGTTTAAAATTTTAAGGTCTTGGCTTTAAATAAAAACACCACACTTTATTTTCCTTCCTGCTTAATTTTTTTTCCTGTGTGCATGCACACACATACTTATCAGGAAAGATTTAATGAAGTCCTAGCTACAGAACAATTTTTAAAGAAATCTTCCTGCTTAATATTTTAATTCCAAGGATCAAAATGGTCTAACCAATAGCATTATAATAGATGCATAAAAGCTTACTTCCTACTAATATCATGTGGCTCAATTGCAGCTGCCATTCATTAGAAAACCAAATTCCCTACCCTTCCCAATAGGCTGACAGCCATGTAAACTCTGCAGTGCCAACTTACTCATGTGTTGCAGTCAAGCCTACAATACTATGACTTTCTAGGGGCTTACTGTCTTGTCTTCCAAGTAGTGACTCAGGCCAGTAAAAGAGGAGTAAAACTATATTTAACCCATGTCTCAGCTACTGGTACATTCACTCTGAAGTACTAAGAAAACTATCACTTAAATAGAAAAACATCACTTTGTTTAGATAGAAAACCAACACAACTCTTTAAAGATTTTCCCAGTAGATTGGGAATAATACTAATTTCAACCATACCTCTTAGCTCCACCAGCATCAGGTGAGACAATAGTACAGTTCTTCCACTCAGAGATATTCTCCCTTATCCACTTTAGGACAGCTGGCTCGGCATACAAATTGTCCACTGGGATATCAAAAAAGCCCTGGAGAAAGAAGGTGGATTAGTTTTGTTTCATTTCTCTTCTCTTCCATTTATAAATGGCTAACACAAAGAAGGAGCCCTAGTGGCGCAGAGGTTAAGCGTTTGGCTGCTAACCAAAAGGTTGACAGTTTGAATCTACCAGCTGCTCCTTGGAAAGGAGCCCTAGTGGCGCAGAGGTTAAGCGTTTGGCTGCTAACCAAAAGGTTGACAGTTTGAATCTACCAGCTGCTCCTTGGAATCCCTATGGGGCAGTTCTACTCTGTCCTATAGGGTCACTATGAGTTGGGATCAACTTGACGGCAATGGGTTTAGTTTTTTTTTTTTTTTTAACACAAAAGAAAGTAGTAACTTGCCCAAAGAATACCTTACTGCAACATTCAAACTGTCTGGAAGGCATGCCCAGTGTGACAGACTGTAAAAACAGCCTCCATGAATCTGGGCTGTGTGAGAGCCCAGCCAAGATCAGCAAAGTCAGCCCTCAGCCAACCCACAACTGATAATAGGTGCAAGAATGAGCCCTTGCCAAGAACAGCCAACTTTGGCCAATACCAGAATTGCCTAGCCAAACTACAGATTCATGAATTAACAAATACTTACTGCTCTATGCCACTAAATATTGGGTTGGTTTGTTAAGGAGCAAAAGTTAACGGGTAAATCAGGTGACACGTGTTCCAATTCTAGTTGCTACAAATTAGTTGTATTTGATAACCAATTTGCTCTTCTGTAAAATGGGTATGATAATCACTTGTCCTATGTACCTCATTAAAGAAACCCTGGTGGTGCAGTGGTTAAAGTGATCAGCTGCTAACTGAAAGGTCAGCAGTTTGAAATCACCAGCTGCTTCATGGGAGAAAGATGTGGCAGTCTGCTTCCATAGAGATTTACAGCCTTGGAAACCCTCTGGGATCGCTCTGAGTCGGAATCGACTCAACAGCACTGGGTTTGGTTTGACCTTATGGACTGCTATAAGACTCAATGAAAGTTCCTTTAAAAAGTATAAAATATGGAGGCGGGGCCAAGATGGCAGAGTAGCTGGATACTTCCTGTGGCCCCTCTTACAACAAACACCCCAAAAAACAAGTGGATCAATTATATATGACAATCTAGGAGCCCTGAACATCAAAGGCAAAGTTGAGGAATTGGACTGAGTGGCAGGGGGAGGGAGGGACAGTTCGGAAGCAGCAAGGAGTTGCCACACCTGACCCAGTGGAAGCCGGCACCCTTCAGGCTAGATACGCTGGCATGCACAGTGAGGCAAGCAGTGGTGCTCCGGAGGCGTTTTCCACATCAGGAGACACCTAGCGGCAGAGAGTCTACGCACACCTCCAGAACCAGTAAAAAATGGCGCTCGATTGGCAAAAGATAAGTACATGCATCTGACCTACCATGCGGATCAAAAACCACCCCCTTTGGGAAAACCCTCTATCCTATTTACCTGCCCCCTCCCTGCTCTGCACCAATTCCCGGGCTGGCTTCAGTGACTGCCGAGTCCCCTGGGCCAGAAGTGGGACCCATCACACACCCTGAGCCATTCTCCCGGCCTTGGAGAGGGAACAAACTAACTGGGTCCAGGACTGGCTTCAGCAATTGCTGAGTCCGCTGGGCCAGAAGAAGGATTCATCACACACCTGGAGCCATTCTCCCTGCCTTGGACAGTGAACAAATTAACAAACAGGGAAAAATAATCTGCCAGCTCCCCTACGCTGGGAAATCACGGTAGGCACAGCTCCACTGCCTAGGTACAGGCATAAGGGGTCCGTGGACTTTGAATGCATTTCACCCCTGCAGAGAGATCTGTGTGGGCCAATTTCAACAGCATAGGCCCTCATTACCACAGTACAACACGGGATATACCTGAAGCCTAACTTCAACTGTATCAGCTATACGGTGAAGTGGCAGGTTTGTGACATTTGACACTGCTCTGCCCACTAAGCAGGGTCCTCACCTACCCACATCAGGGGCCTGAGGACTGGTGGCTCCACCCATACCACCTAGCAACTCGCGACAGTGGTCCAAGAATAAGTAGTGTCTCCCAGTCCTTACAGCCAACAGCATTGGGTGCTCATAGTCCGGCTGGAAAACCCATCCATGTGCTCTAGGGAACAGGGAAACACTTTCCTTCCAGACACTCAGGGGCAGCCGTCAGTCCCTGCCTTGCTCAGTGCCTGACCCCCTACTGCAGCCAGATACCTGTGCCTACACCAATCACCCCTGCCTGTCTAGGACTGTAGGTGAGAGCCTGCACCACACACCGGGTGACCGACTACCTGGACACCTGAGCTGAATCCATTCAAGAAAAGTTAACAGACTCCTGGGCTCACATACCTAGTAACAAATCTAACTACTTGGTGACAGGATGTTAGAGCTTCAAAGGCGCCAATAATCAAACTAGATGACAGGGGCAGCCTATTTGGGCATATCAAAACAAAACAAGAAGCTAGGACACTGTCTTAGTCATCTAGTGCTGCTTTAACAGAAATACCACAAGTGGATGGCTTTAACAAAGATAATCTTACTTTATCACAGTCTAATAGGCTAGAAGTCCAAATTTAGGGCATCAACTCCAGGGGAAGGCTTTCTCTGTCAGATGTGAAGGAAGGTCCCTGTCGTCAATCTTCCGTTGGACTAGGAGCTTCTCCCCACAGGAACCCCGCATCCAAAGGACATGCTCTGCTCCCGGGGCTGTTGTCTTTGTGGTATGAGCTTCCCAACTCTCTGCTTGCTTCCCTTTCATCTCTTGTAAGATAAAAAGTGGTTCAGGCCACATCCCAGGGAAACTTCCTTTACATTGGATCAGGGAAGTGATCTTACTAAAGGGTGTTACAAACCCACCTTAATCCTCTTTAACATAAAATAACAATCACAAAATGGAGGATAACCATACAATACTGGGAATCATGGCCCAGCCAAATTGATACACACATTTTTTGGGGGACATAATTCAATCCATGAAAGACAAAGTAAGTAAACATAAAAGAAATAAATATAATAACTTATTGATGGCTTGGAGAAAACAGTCAATACTAAATCAAATAAAGAGGCAAACCATGATGGCTTTAGCAAGCTCCCAAAACAAAGAATCAAGAAATATTCCGGAAGAGGACAACTTCTTGGAATTATCGCAGGTAGAATACAACAGATTAACATACAGAACACTTCAAGATATCAGGAAGGAGATCAGGCAAAACATAGAACAAGCCAAGGAACATACAGAAAAAGCAATGGAGGCACTTAAGAAGATTAGAGAAGAGTATAATGACAAATTTAACAGGCTGCAAGAATCCATAGAGAGACAGCAAACAGAAAACCAGAAGATTAACAATAAAATTTCAGAATTAGACAACTCAATAGAAAGTCATAGAAGCAGAACTGAGGCAATGGAAGTCAGAATTAGTGAAACTGAAGATAAAGCACTTGACACCAACTTATTTGAGGAAAAATCAGAAAAAAGAATTTTAATAAATGAAGAAACCATAAGAATTATGTAGGATTCTATCAGCAGGAATAACCTATGAGTGACTGGAGTACCAGAACGGGGGGATAACAGAAAATACAGAGAGAACTGTTTAAGACTTGTTGGCAGAAAACTTCCCTGATATCGTGAAAGACGAGAAGATATCTATCCAAGACGCTGATCAAACCCCACATAAGGTAGATCCAAACAGAAACTCACCAAGACATATTATAATCAAACTTGCCAAAACCAAAGATAATGAGAGAATTTTAAGAGTGGCTAGAGATAAATGAAAAGTCATCTACAAAGGAGAGTCAATAAGAATAAGTTCGGACTACTAAGCAGAAACCATGCAGGCAAGAAGGCAATGGGATGACATATATAAAGCCTTGAAGGAAAAAAATTGCCAGCCAAGAATTATATATCCAGCAAAACTGTCTCTCAAATATGGTGGCAAAATTAGGGCATTCCCAGATAAACAGAAGTTTAGGGAATTTGCAAAAACCAAACCAAAATTACAAGAAATACTAAAGGGAGTCCTCAGGTTAGAAAACCAATAACATCAGATAACAACCCAAGACTAGAACACAGGACAGAACAACCAGATATCAACCCAGATAGGGAAGTCAGAAAAATAAATCTAAGTTAAAACACTGAAAATATGGAAAAAGAGACGTCAATAGGTAGACAATGACAACATCAAAACAAAAAACAGGGATTAAAAAATGTAGTCATTAGTCTTTCATAGGGAGAGGAAGTCAAGGCAATAGAAAGAAATAAAAGACTGGTTTATACTTAGAAAAATAGGGGTACATATTAAGGTAACCACAAAGGAAACTAACAGTCCTACATATCAAAACAAAAAACAAGAAAAAACATAAAGACTCAGCAAATACAAAATCAACAATGAAAAATATGAAAAGAAAATACATAAAGAAAAATGACTCAGCACAGAAAATTAAGTGGAACAAAGAAACTGTGAACAACATACAAAAAAGATATCAAAATGACAGCACTAAACTCATACCTATCAATAATTAC